CTCTAGTGTATCTGAGGGTGGAAAGAGCTAAATGGAAAAAAAAGAGAATGTAGAACAGGGTAAGGGGGAGTGGTTGGGGAGGGTGAGGAAGATAGCAGTGTGGAGACTTGAGGAAAATACATTTCAGCAGGAGAGAGAGCTATTATAAAGGCCCCAGGCAAGAGCAAGCATAGAAAACAGCCAGAGCAGCATGGAGCATAAGGAACAAGGGGAGAATAGGAAATGCGGGGTGGGGGAAGAATGGCATAGGTCCACGAGGTCATTGATTTTCACTGAGTAATGACTCAATGAGAAGCCATAAGAGGAAATGACATGAACTGGCTTGTTTTAGAAGGATCACTCCGCTGTAGTGACTAGACAGGAGAAGGGGGTGGGGGTGTGTGGGAAATAGTAAACTAACAAATACCAGCCCCCATATCCACCTCTGTAGCTATACTGGCTATATTCTACCCCAGCTCCTCACTGCTCCAAGATGCAAAATAAAAAATTTGCTGTGACCTCTTATTCTACCTTTAAATCCTAGATACCAACAGACAAAGGCAAAAGGCCCTGCAAGGATCAGCCTCTGTCTAGGAAGAACGGACTGAAGATAGCACCTTCACAAATCTAAGATGAAGGGATGAGAGAAATGAGAATTTTCACCAGCAAAGACTGTTCCTATCTTGTATCTAGGATACACACAGTAAGCTTCAGTAAGTTAATGTTCACGGAAATTGTCTTTTTACTTTTATTATTTCAATTCACAAACCAATTAAAGACACTATAAAAATTCTCATTATCTATTCCATAAAGTACTAGTATTTTTTCACAAACAAACCATGAACTCTTCACAAGTTATGAGAAATTTTAGCTAGTTTTCATCTTCCTATTTGTTAAAATCTAAACTGTTGCCAGTGAGTGTGCAATGCAAGGTTTGGCCTCTGCTGTCCCCTAGTGGAATCACATCCTGCTACCTAAATTACTCACAAAATTTCTGAGAGCCACAAAATGCAGCCAAGCAAATAAGGCTAAGTTGGAATACTACTCAGATTATTTTGCCTCCCACTACTCTGGGGAAGAAAATACAGTTTATTTTATAAACTCCCATCTTCTACCCACACCCTCCCCAAACAAAAGCATTTAAAAGATTAGGAGTATCTGATGTCTGTTTTCCATTCCCAAATCTGTTCTATTTTCAACTGGACATTTTTAAAAGCAATAGGAAGAGCTTGGTTTTGTGTATACCAAGAAATTTTAGCCCTAAAGAAAATTGCTTTTAAGTGACAGAATCTATCACAGGATACAGCAGTATAAAACTATTCATATCCCTTGCCTCACTTGTCTCTAGAGGAGATTATTTTGTTAAAAGGGGTGTAGAATGATTAAGGGATAGAGGGAAATTTCTCAACTGCTGTAGAGCAAACGAATTCTAGACAGGTAAATAAATTAAGACAGAATTAAGTACTTCAAGGCATGAAGTACAAGTACCTGAATCACCCTTTGTTTTTATTTAGCTAAAAGAAAAAAATAAAACAAAAAACAAAAAACCCCAGAGTCCCCAAACCTTAGCTATTTTGTTAATTAATTTATTTTTCTATATCCATATACTATAGTTCAATTCCAAATGCAAACACTATCTGGCAACCTGGCTTTAATTACAGCCGAATACACAGGATTTTAATTAGTTTCAAATTTTAATTTAGCCTTTATTCAATTCAATTATTCAGTCTCATGGCCCACAAAACTTTCTAATTATCTCTAAGCCCATTAATGGCAACTTTTAAACTGCCAGAGAAAAAATAAACATTACATATGCTAAACCTTTCCACTGACTATACATCTAAAAGAGTGAATTTAGAATATTTTTAATTGGTTACAAAGGGTCAAACAGGCTTGTACTTTAAAAATTAATGAACCACCTTATAAATTACATTAAAAACATTTTTTCAAATTAGTATTCTCTCGTTAGACACGATCATTGTGATGTTCTAACTCTTCATCTCCATAGTCATTAAAATCCAATTTAATGCTCACCACAGCATGTTCAACTACATAAGATTTTCAACAACTTCTCCAAGAATCAAGAACTCTGAAATATTTCCCCTTCTAGGACCCCTGATATATGGAGATATTCAATAACCTTCATACAGGGAGAATAATTTTACTGCTAGATGTATTCTATGGAGGAATCAATCTGCCTTGTCCACATATATACCACTCGCACATCTAGAAAACATGTAATACACATCAACATAATCACATTAAGGAATACATAAAAGGGAAAAAGCAAAAAATAAAATCAAAAGCACCTAATGTGCTTATGAGATACCACATCCAATCTTACCTATCCAGAGGCCCACAGGACCACAGAATACAAATGTACACGAGTACATGTACAAGTTTATACATGCTACACATTTACTGAGGACAATTACACAGGGAAACATTCCACCAACCATCACCAATGACTTTTCAGAATATCTCACTATGAATAATTGGAACATGTACCCAACACATTAAATACCACTGAGGCACCATGCACCTTCTTATAAGATGGAAAAGAGAACAGACTGCTATTCTACCCATGTCACTCAGATACAAGAAAAAATTCTAAAAACAAGTTTGTCTGAATGTACAATGACATCATATACAAAACCCAGTCCTAACTACTACTTATTCAAATATATATCATTAATTACAATTAAAAGACTGACTTTGGCCAAGCACAGTGGCTTCATGCCTGTAATCCTAGCACTCTGGGAGGCCGAGGCAGGAGGACTGATTGAATTCAGGGGTTTGAGACCAGCCTGACCAACAGTGATACCCCATCTCTACTAAAAATAGAAAAATTAGGCCAGGTGTCATGGCAAGTGCCTACAGTCCCAGCTACTTGGGAGGATGAGGCAGGATCCCTTGAGCCCAAGAGTTTGGAGTTGCAGTATGCTACGATGAAGCCCCTGCACTCTACCTGGGGCAACAGAGCAAGACTCTGTCTCAAAAAAGACTCACTTTTGAACCTTCTAGTACATAAATCCTATTTTCAGATAGTCTTTCACGATTGTATATTCTCTCCCTTCTTTCATGCTGGTCAAAGGGAACACACTTAAGTGAGTGCATTTTGATTATAAACGATGTTTAAAGATGACCCCCGGAGCAAATCTGAATCAATCAAAAAAAACCTTTAAACATTTCAAACATGTTATGAAAATTAGAAAAACAGGAAAGAGCTCTATTTTGTTAGGTCACAGTAGGACATGAAAAATATTCCCTTCAGCTGAAATAACCAAGTCACCATACACACAAAAAAATGTTTTTCTTCAAAGCTATCCAAAAACTATAAATAAAAAATCTAGAATAAACTCCAAACGGTCTTCCTAGATAAGCAAAGGATAGAGGACACTATTATACCTGGGACCACTTGCTGAAGTGGGCACAGAGCAGAGAGAAAAGCAAGCCTAACAGAGGAGCACAGTCTTTGTGCTTGGGCCTCAAGTTCCACAAATAATTCATTAAGTTTTAAATTGCATTCCATCCCTGGGAAAGCCTTAAAGAAAAGTTTGTGGCTGAAATCAAAAGCAACTGTTGGCCCAGTTAGACCAACTCTGAAATCTATATAATACCCAATCACCCAGTTTTGATGAGAAAGGAAACGGAATGAAAATGTAAGAGAAGAAACAGTCCATCTGTGGCTAATCATAATCTTATTGTGATTAGTATTTAGGTTATTTCCAATTCTTAACCATTACAAATGTCAGTAAGTCAGACATCTTTACTGAAACTTTATTCATCTATTTTCTGAAGATCCATTTCTGAATATGGAATTACTAAGGCAAAAGGAAGAACTCTAAGGCTTTTGATAAATAAGCATTACCAAAAGCTATCCAGAAAGATATTAACCATCTACAATTCTACTAACAATGTTCATCTCCCAGCTTCACTGCTACCTCAATAGCAATGACATGTCATGTAATCCTTTTTCATTCATTCACATACCTTTCTATGCCATGTAGTTCCAAATGACTGACTTTACTATGTTCTTTACTACAAAATTTCCTCAGACATCTTAAGCTTTTATGGGGAGGAAAAGTTCAGAGGGAGGGGGGATAAGGAGTAGCCTCCAGCAAGGCCTCTAATTCCTGCACTTGGAAAAAAGGAAAAAGAAATCCATGACTCCAAATTACCTTGCCTCTTATTAGAGCCTACAACCAAGAAGAACACAAGACCTCAACTAGAAGAGTCGGACTGCCTGGGTTCAAATCCTGACTCTGTAGATCTTCAAACAAGTTGTTAATTGCTCAAAGATTCAATTTCCTAATCTGAAAATAGAGACTGAATGATACAGTAGTCCCCCCACCCACGATTTCACTTTCTGCAGTTTCAGTCAACCAAGGTGCAAAAATACAAAACAGAAAAATTCCAGCAATAATTCATTAAGTTTTAAATTGCATGCCACTCTGAACGGCATGATGAAACCTCACATCGTACACTCTGACCTGCCCGGGACGTAAGTGAATCATCTCTTTACACAGTGTATCCATGCTGAAGACGCTGCCTATTCATTAGTCACTTAGTAGCCATCTCAGTCATCAGATTAAAAAAAAAAAAAAAAAAACACAAGAAACCGTACAGTGTAGGGTTTAGTACTACCTGAGAATCAGGCAACCACTGAGGGCCTTGGAAAGTATCCCGAGGATAACGGATGACTACTGTAGCCCTATACCTGAGCAGTCATTAAGATTCAATGAGATGATGTTCAGTGAGCAATTCTGGGGAAAAGTTTAGTGAGGGAAAAGTTAAAACAAAAAAATTAAAATAAGACTGTCATGGATTTTTTTCAGGCACTAATCAAGTCTCTGCCATAATGATTTATAATAGCTGTCAAGCTGCTATCAAATCCACACCACAAAATACCAAAACAGCACTCATTTACCTGAATTCCTCCATTCTTTGTCTATAGTTGGGAAAGCATGCTTTGTTTTTTAGAGAGCATCAACAGCAAAGAAACAGGCCAGTAGACCTACCTGGCAGTTCTACCTGCTCTGTGAATATACGTGTTGGCATCCTCTGGACAATCAAACTGAAGAACCCAATTCACAGCTGGGAAATCTATGAAGAATAATGAATGTCAAGTTAAAAAATCAGTTTCAAGATCTGCTCTGCTGCACTATTTTTATTTTACAAAATTGCTTGCTAGTACTTTCTATCACATCAAACTGATAGATATCATCTGTGCACTCTATTAAAAAAGTTAATTGCATGAACCAAGAGAAACACTTGACAGAGTAAACTAAAATTAATGACTGAATATGAAGATTACTTCATTTCTGACACAGAAGAGACAGATTGCTTTGTGTCAGACAAACAAGGAAATACTCTGACATTTAATAACCTAAAAGAACTATTAATACTTTTCATGGGAGAATATAAAAAAAAAACCCTGCTTTTCATGGGGTCACAGTGAACTATAAAACTGGTTTCTAAATTTAATTGAAGGTTTACTTTTCTTGCTGTTTCCACCTTCATGTGACTATATGACGTTTTTCTAGGTCCCTCTCCTATTTCTTAGAATTATTCCACATATATTTTCTGGCTATAGCAGTTTTCATTTCCAAAGAATTCTGCTCTCAACTCTTAGAGAGAGCTACTTTTAGTCATTTATGGATTTTGCTACAAAGATTTCAGATCAATTTCTGTCAGAGAAAAGGGCCAGGCACTAAAAAAAAAAAAAATTTAAGATATTGGAAGATAATGATAGCTATGAGCATCACAGCTGTCACTAAGTCATGCAATGTATTCAAAAGGGTTGAATTTTAGTATGAGGAGGAAGAACCAAGAAAAACAGGGCAGAGATATTTAGAACGATTCTCGGGACTTGAAATAACCAGGTACCTCACAGGACAGGGGCAGGATGCAGGGCTACAGACAGGAAGATGGGTTGAAAGCGGCAGTGAGAACCTAAGGTCCCCTCCCTTATCTTGTACAGTTGGGTCTCCTGAAGTAAACCAAGAGTCTTACCCTGGAGAAAGACTTCAGAGCCCAGGACACCAGAACCAGAGTGAAAACAGGAGTACTAAGGAACAGCCTACATGGTACATGGGAGCCCTGTTTGCTAACTTCCTTGCTAGGCTTCCAGAGAGCCAGCAGCAAGCTTAGTTCTCATGAGATTGAGATTTTCTTCTCCGGAAAGACTAAATACTCAAGGAGAATAGATGTCTAAATTTTGAGTCCTCCACAAAATGGTCAACTCTGTCCGAATCCCCTCACAATGGCCATTAGTCAACAAGCCTCACCTATGTACAAATCACTTTAAATAGGTTTCTAGTGCCTCATTGTTACATATGACATCCAAATGCAGACAATTGAGAGAAGCCTTAAATATGAAAGACAGATGAAAAACAAACAATGTGGGCTAGAGAACATAAAAACTTAATATCTTCAGAGAGAAAACACTGAATCCAAACAAAGGCTATAAAGAAAGTATTCATAATGGTTAAAAGTAAAAATTTTAATAGAAAAGCTGAACTATAAAGTAAAGGAAATACTCCAGAAAGAACAAGAAAAGGACAAAGGGATGGGCAACAGGAGAAAAACAGGAAAATTAGAAGACCAAGAAAGTCAAATACTCTTCTAGAAAGAATAAATAAGGGGGGAAGGGAAGAAATTTTGTAATGGGACAGTTATTAATGCCAAGAAAATCACAAAAAAGTTTAAGAAACAATCTAAGCACACTGATTCCCTCAGCAGCAAATAATTACATAGTCAAAATAATGTAAATACTGAATATTTAACCAAAACACCAAGAAGCAATTCGTAGGTAAATTTCCTACAACTGAGAGACATGAGTATCTACTCTATGCTGCACAATATGGTAGCCATTCAAGTTTAATTAAAATTAAATAAAATTGAAAATTCATCCCTTCCTCAGTTCCACAAGCTATGTTTTAAGTGTTCGATAGCCACAAGTAGCTACTAACTATAGTATACAACATTTGCAAACATGGAATATTTTAATCATCATAGAAAATTCTGTTGAACAGTGCTGGTCTAGATTAAAAAGCACAATGAATGCCTGCATAACTAGGACCTCACACTTAAAGTATATTATCACAAAATGTCATAACACTGGATAAACAGAAAATCCTAGGAATATCCAGAAAAAGAAAAGGGGGTTAACAAGAAGGAATCAGAAAAGCAAACATCTCAACAGAATACTGACTACTAGGAGACAACAGAAAATACCTACAAGTTTCTAAGAGAAAACTTCAACCTGGAATTCTACTGCCAACCCAATATAAATTAAGAATAGGCCATTAGCAGACATGCAAGGACTCACTTTACGTCCCATTCACCCTTATGAAGCTATAGGGGAATGAGCTTTATTTTTAAAAAATAAGTAGTAAGCCAAGAAAACTACAACAGATAATCCAGAAAGATAAGTCCCAGGATGGAGGTGTGCATCAGGCTTAAAGAGCAACCAGTCTGGCTTAGAGCTTGAGGCAGAAGGCTACAAGAGGGAAGTCCAAAGGGGAAAGGAAACAGAACTGTGAATTGTTATAGAACATGACATCTACTGGAACACTTGAGAATTTATAACTGGGAACACAGAAAACTAAGCAAATTGTTATAGTAATTAACGCAATTATTACCTCAAAAACACAAAAGTATGAGACAAGTAATCTTAGTACACTGTTTCCTGCAATAAACAATTATATCAAAACAATGTAAACATGAAATATTTAACCAAAAGTCAAGAAATAACAGGAAAGACGGGGTAGCAGAAGAGAGACGATTGTTAGAGAGGTTATAAAAGGAAGTCTTGGGATAATTTCTAAACTTGATAGATTAAAAAATGGCAGTATGAATATGGATCAAAATACCAGAAAAAAAAATAAGAGTTTTAAGTAGTTGCTTCTAGTGAGTGAGGAAGGGAAGAGCAGGGTCTGCTATGTTTCATTATAACTCATTCTTACCCATATAAAGTTGACAAAATAAAGTTTAAAAAGATAATAGTATATTCTAAAGGTCTTCGACATTTATGTAAGAGAGCTTCAAGATATTCATTGCACATTTGTTTAACAGGAAAAACTATAATAGAAACAACTTTAATGTCCAGTATTACAGGAATAAATATATAACTGGATAGATTCACACTATGGGACATTCTGTATAAATATTGGATCTTTACACATCAACATGGAAAGACTTCCAAAGTCACAGACTAGTATATAAGATATTGTTTATATGAACTTTTAAAACACCCAATACTAGATAGTGCTTATGAATACATGCACATAAAGTATTTCCTTTGGAAATAAACTAGAACAGAGGCTCCTGATATATCTTATGCCATAGATAAAAGCCTATGAACCTCTTCTCAGAATATTTTCAATGCATAAAAACATAGGATTACAGGAAAGAAAACAATGAAATATAGACATTTTTATTGGACTTTTGATATAATGTATATGCATATTTACTAACACATTAAATAACACGACTTAGTTGCAGGTCTAATAACTACTATAATACCAAATTAGTACCAAGTATAAACAATATTCCAAGATACCTTTAAAAATTAACGTAAAATGAAAATATGATTTCAATTGGTCACAAAGTCACAGATACTACTAAAACTGCAATAGTTTATTGCTTACATAATACTAAACTTCAGTTAAAGGCTAGTGAAAACATGATATTTTTCCTCATCCAAGTTCACAGACCCACCAAATTCTATCAGACTCTTCAGACTAGAGGTGAAGATCCTTTAACTATTATAAAAGGTTACACACCAAATATGACAATAACTTTGAGAAGGGGGAATAAAACAGGACAGGGAAAGGGTACACAAAGGACTACATCGATTAATATTTAACTAAATTCAAGGAAGATGGCAAAATATTTATATCTATTCATTGTGAGTAGATGATTTATATGTGTGATGTTTTTAAAATTATCTTCTAATTTTTAAAAAAGGAATCTGACCTTTAAAAGGAGTAAACTTCAATTCAAAATTAGCTTTTGTGACCCAAACTATTTCAGGTTCAAATATCAGAGTGAGGCTGGGCATGGTGGCTCACACCTGTAATTCCAGCACTCTGGGAGGCCGAGATGGGAGGATTACTTAAGCTCAGGAGTTCAAGACCAGCCTGAACAGGAGGAGACCCCCATCTCCACTAAAAATAGAAAAATCAGCCAGGTGTCGTGGCGAGTGCCTATAGTCCCAGCTACTTGGGAGGCTAAACCAGGAGGATTGTTTGAGCCCAGGAGTTCAAGGTTGCAGTGAGCTATCATGACGCCACTGCACTCTACCCAAGGGCACAGAGCAAGACTCTGTCTCAAAAAAGAAAAAAAAGGAAAATCAGAGTGAGATATAAAACAGATACAAGCACAATCAAACTGTTTTGCAAAACTATACAGTCAAATGGAGGGTGAAGGATGGGTTGTTGTGGGGCTGAGAAAATAGCCTAGAGAACTTTGAAAATATGCATACTTGGCTACTGTCTCCAGTCACACATGGATGAACTGGTATGTCTGAGATACACTTCAGAATACTTCAAGAGGGACAGGAGAAGGGATTATGAAAAAGATTACTAAAGCTAGGTAATGTGTAATGAGAGTAGATTAGACTTATTCTCTTTTTGTGTATGTTTAAAACTTGCCAAAATTAACAAATATGACAAAGTGATTGAAGGATTCAAATTCTCATCATTTGTTCTCATCCTTTGTTCTTATCTCTAAACTAGTTTTCCTCTATTATTTAATACTTCCATCCCCAACCCACTCCCACAAAGCCTCAAGTTGTCTATCAATACAGTGGCTTTTTGAAAATTCATAATACATTAAATGTAGTGATTTTAAGATAAAAATTAAAATGGCTGGTGAAAAGATGCACTTCACTGATTTGTTAAATGAGTTTGATATCTATAAACAAGATTCCGATTTTCAAAGAAACAGGAATGGTATTCCTATCTTTAAACTTTTAATCCTCCTTTGATTTTGTAGGCTGCTCAGGATTCTACAGTATAATTGTCATGAAACAATGGTAAGAGCAAAAAAGATGCAAATACTATGGAAATTTTTACCACGCATCCTTAACATTAATTAACTGCTACCAATTTACTTATTTTTCTCTTACAAAATAAGAAAAGACCCAATTATTTGAGCCTATTAGATTTCCCAAAATACACCTTATAGCAAATTATGTTCCCCACAAGCACAGAAATTTCATGGTAGGAAAGTCTCTTACCCAGTCCCCTGGCTGCAATATCAGTAGCAAAGAGCACTGCAGCTCTCTTACGGACAAATTCATTATAGACTTCCATTCTTCTCATCTGCTGCTGTCGACCATGGAGGGCAAGGATAGAAATACCAGGACGCAGCCGGCAGAAAACACGGTACAGATACTGAACCTGGGCATTAACAGAAGAGTAAGTTTGGTACTTCCAGATGGCAGTAGTAAAGCTTATAAGATGAACAGCAAGAAATGTATTAGGAGCACAAATTTTACCAATTAAAAAAACTTAAATATGGAGCAGAGAAAGGGAAATGTAGCCTAGTCAAACATTTTTGCTCACATATTTCCTTAGATTTTTTTTCAAATGCTCTTCTCACATTTTTATGTTGATATCTGAAATCTCTCTGAATTTGAATAGTTGCAAAGAATGTAGTTTCTGATAAATATTGATGTTTTAAACACTTATCTCTCATAAACATATCCAATGAATTCTAAATAGCAGGGCAATTTGATACCCACTATCAACTAAGTGAAAATTCTAAAGAAACACTTTAACAGAAAGAAGTTTTATTTCCTTCCTCCTTTAATTCACATTTCTATTCCCTGACCTCACAGAATCGCATCTTAAGTTTGAGGCCTGAAAGTCTTATATTCAGTTATCATAACTCAATTTTCTACAAAAGTTAAAACTGATA